CTATTACTACTACTATCAGGGAGCATAAGGGATGGCTGATATCATTCATGTTTCAGAGAGCAGAAGTGGCGGGGTGGCAGATAATTCCGTTATGAGAGCATGCTATTATCCTACCCTTCCCCGGATTATCAAGATCCCATGCTTAAAGTCACCGCAGAGAACCCAGAACTCTCGAGAAATCTTCATGAAAGAGTAGTGTTTCAATATGCACTTCTTAGGGACTTACGGGCTATAGGAAACATGATGAACGCATATAAATACGAATATCATACTGTTGGATATAAGCCATGTTAGGGTGGAAAAAGGACCGTTGCTTGCGTGTCTAACTTTATATGAAATACATGTTGATAAGATTAACCCAATATACAGACCCAACGAACACAACAACAGGAACAAATGGACTCCTTATACATTCTGATGTTCTTTTCTCTTTCGCCAAAGAAATCAGTTCACCCATTCAAGACCATCCTCGCCCTGGACAGTCCGTCTGGCCAGGACTTCAGCGGCCTTCTCCTTCACACCCTCTTTGCTGTCAAAGTTCGCAACAATATCGTTGAGGGTCACTTTCTCCTTTCTTCCACGGTGACGCACGAAAGCCTCGATTCTGCTTTCGCTAGGCAACCCGAACTTGTAGGGATATTGGCTGTACGGGGACTTGTAGTGGTAGAGACTCAACCGGGATTCAGGTCCCGACTCAGACTCGGAAATCTCGAAGAATTTGTCGACGGTCTCGGTCGAGACCTCCTCCAGAGTCGCCGGCTGCCAGGTGGCCTGGCGGGGAGGCTTCGACATGAGGCGGGCCTTCACGCCCTCCACAAAGTCGGGATGTCTCATGAACTTGGAGGCGATGGCGTGCTCACGCTGGAAGGTCTCGGAGATGGTCCACTCGCGGCCGACACGCAGCTGGCGCAGGGCAACCTTGAGCGAGGTGGGTGACCGCGCCGACAGGGTCTCCAGGGTCTTCTCAGCCCACGACTTCATCTCTGTTTCCTTCTGCAGCGCCTGGATGATCTCCTCCACCGTGTTGTACTGGAAGCAGCGGTCAATAGCGCTGCGCAGCTTGCCAGCCAATTGGATAGGCTCCTCGCGCACGGACGGCACACCCGTCGAGAATTCGGCCATGGTTTTGTTGACAAGAGCGAGACGTTCCTGGAATGTGGAGTAGTCACGGAAGACGAGCTCAGACAGACGAGCCGTCAGGTTGGCCAGCGCGCTGGAGTGCAAGTAGTGCGTGGCAACACCAGCATACAGAGCCTGAACGCCGTGAAGTCGCTCCGAGGTAAGGGCCAGGTATGTTCCGAGCTGTCCATCGAGACGGGACAGGAAGAAGGAGCCGCCAACATCCGGGAAGAAGCCAATGGTGGTCTCGGGCATGGCAAACACAGTGCGTTCAGTGGCGATCCGGAAGGGAGCGTGGACACTGAGACCGACACCGCCGCCCATGGTGATACCGTCCATCACGGAGACGAAGGGCTTCTGGTAGGTCGCGATGAGGTGATCGAGACGATATTCGTCGGCGAAGAAGTCGGACGAGGCCTGCTGGCCCTCGGGGCCCTTTTCATTCTGCAGAGCCAGGGCAGCCACATCTCCTCCGGCGCACAGAGCTTTCGAGCCAGCGCCAGAGAGCATGATGACATTGGCCAGATCGGACTTTTCCCATTCCTAGAAAAAAAACCCCAATCGCTTAGCAACAAGTCCACACGTATAATACCAGGTCACAGCCACAAGCTAACCTTCAGTCGAGGCACAATCTTCCGAACCATCGAGCCGTTCAAGGAATTGAGCTTCTTAGGACGGTTGAGCTCAATCAAGCGCACACCGTAGTGGGAGTGGAACAGGACATCGTCGGGCTCGTCTCCGGGGAGTTCTTTGGGGATAGGTGCAGTAGACATCTGCAATCGTCAGTCAATGGGAAAGGCGAAGCATGAGATAAGAGAAAGGCGTACACTAGCAGTGGCCCCGAATGCTGGGTTGGTGACTTTGGCACGGAGAGGCATGGTAGCTGGTGAAACCCGCGAGATCCAGCTCGACGGTGTTGGAAACCGGCAAATACTGCGTCGGAGTAACATCAGGCAGACCACAGCCTGTTGTGGAGGAGGAGACGGGGTAAAGGAATGGAGGGATGAGGGGATTAAGTATGAGGATGAGCAGCTCGTCGGTTCTCCGCTTGCTTTGACCTCGGAGTTTTTCGCGGAATGATTTTCCTCGCCGGCCGCTGAAGAGGAGAACAGCCGAACGGCCGCAAGTTGAGATGTCCCACCAGGAGTAATCAGAACCTTAGTAGTGGTATATAGGGTTCTAAATTATTGATAAGAGAGACTTTTAAATATTTCTGTTTTATTTTTGATTTGTCCAGAGGATTTTGGCTATAATTTCGTGAAGGAATTCCGTTCGGCAACCTCGCCCTGGCATGTGCTTCCGACTACTTACATCGGTCTCCCTTTACCAATTACCGAGCAGCTTATCGTAGGTTTCTGCTAAGAATGCCGTGACTTTCATCCTTGAAAATCCGTAATGCCATCATACATATTTCGAATCTATTTGTACAAAATAAAACACAAAACGAAGCTAACCAATAAAAGACCCCATCGCCCGGTAAAAGAAATTTAGTACAAAGCCTTGGCCGGCTTGTTCTTCAGATCCTTGGAATGCTGAGACAGAATGCGGTCCAGCGCTTGCTTCTCGATAATCAAGCGTCCAGTCTCCAACAGGTCCTTCACGTCCACGTCACGGCGGTCCAGGATCTTCGCATGTTCACCCACTTGACGCACGGTCTCGAACAGCTCCTCCTTCGGCTGGTCCGTAATCAATGTTGACCGTCCATAGTGCCGGCCCCAGCAGTTGACCTTGAAAATCTCCTCAACGATATGGGGAGTGGCGCCCTCCGGAAGGCTGATTTCGTTGTCGACAATGATCAATTGGCCGCGCTTGTAGCGGTAACTGAGGGCTATCCGCCACGCCTGGTCGTAGATCTTCTGAGGGAGCTCCGTAGAGAAGTCGCGGGGGTGAGGACCAAAAGCAACACCTCCACCCCTCCGGATCGGGGATTTCTTGTCGCCAACACGGGCCCGGCCAGTACCCTTCTGCGCATGCAACTTCCTACCACTTCCATGCACATCATCTCTCCACTTGGTGCTTGCGGTACCTTGTCGGGTCATGTCACCCTCGTACACAACGGCTCGGTGCAGGATGTCTTTGCGTAGCGGCATCAGGAGGTGGTTGCGAGGATACTCAACGAAGCGCAGAGGCTCCATCGAGGGGAATGAGTAGAGGGTAGCCTTGACGGGTTCGGGATTCCACACGGGCTTGGGAACCTCCCTCGTAAGGTTGTCAACGGGGGACTGGGCCTCGGTGGCCATCGAGCGGGAGAAGGACTTCGTCAGGCATCGTTGCTATGAAATCGAGGCATCAATGGTCAGTATCTCGCATTCAGCCATATGCAAAGACTAGCAGCGGAATCAAAAAAGGTCGGCCTTACCGTGGTCGTCTCAGCGCCCGAGAGGAGACCCCCTGAGCTGCGAGAGAGCAACTTGAGTGCGCGAAGAGCGTCACTTCCAGGCATTGTGAGTGTGAGTGTGTAATTAAACCCCGAGAGGTAGCCTGGATGGGGGAGGGATCTCGGTGGTGATGCTTTGGAGGAGGAGCAGCAAAAGTTCGGGTGGTCTGGCGCTAGCCGCCTGAGGCTTGGCCAACCCGACGAAAAAAGTTCCGTCCGGCCAGGAACCTCGACTTCGACTTCCCGACCAACCTGGGGAATCTCTTCCATCCACTCCACCACTTTATCCCCCCGTCCTTCCCCAGTCACTCGTCTCGCCATGGCTCATTGCGAGCGGGCCTCGAAGCCCCTGCTCCAATGCCTGCAGAAGACCTACACAAAGGGTCTTCCAGGCCTCCAGCTGCAGTCCACCCGCGCCTTTCAGTCCACCGCTCTGGCTCGCGAGGAAGCCCAGACTGAGGCCAAGAGCGCTCCCTTCCACAAATCGCCTGATCCGGCCCTAGTAACAAGTCCCCGGCTGGAACGGAGGTTGTTACGCCAGGGAATTGCCCCCGTCGGATCTCGTCGACGTCGCGCGGCCCTCCAGGGCTCATCCAACATTCCCTTCGAGCAGCTGCCCTTCCAATGTTTCCAGGAGGCCCGCAAGGTTTTGATCGCAGACCGGGAAGAGAAGGTGCGCGATATCCAGTCGATGAGCGAGAAGATTGCCAGGCTTCAGGCCCTTTCCAATGAGGAGGCCGGCGGCTTGCAGGTCAAGAAGTCCAAGCTCCGGGCCATGGAGCTCCATCTGGAACACCTCAAGATCCTTGCGGATGTGAACGACCCGCTGGTCAAGAAGAAGTTTGAGGATGGGCAAGGTGAGCAACACATTCTACAAACTGCCTTCAACTCCGCAGCCTAACCGACCTCGTCTAGGTGACCTCAGCAAGCCCATCTACCGCTACCTGGCCGATCGGAAATGGAGGGAATACCGTCGCAAGATCCTCGTCCAAAGAATTACACAAATGAAGGTGATTCCCGACGTTCTTCCTCACTGCGACCCCGTTGTCGACACCAAGCTCTACTTCAACCGCAGCCAGGTGCAGCCTGGAGAATACGTCAACGCCAAGGTCAGCACGACAGCACCTAAGCTCGACGTGCAGCTTTTCGAGGGCGGCGAGAAACTCGTTACCATCGCCGTGGTCGACTCGGATGTCCCGAACGTTGAGAAGGATGGATTTGATTTCAAGATGCACTACCTGGCTGTCAACGTCCCCATCTCGGCCACCAACACCAAGGTCGATCTGGCCCAGCTGTCGGGTGAGTCGCAGGTTGTCCTGCCATGGGAGCCCCCTGTCGCTCAGAAGGGCAGCCCCTACCACCGACTGTCTCTGTTCATCCTCGAACAGAAGGACTCCAAGCCATTGGACTTTGCCGCCGTCAAGGCGAAGGAGACGGAGCGTGAGAACATGCTGCCCCGCACCCTGCAGGCCCGGTACCACCTGAAGCCGATTGGCGCGCACCTGTTCCGCACGCAATGGGACGAGACGACATATGAGGTGATGAAGCAGATTGGCTTCCCCGAGGCGAACATGGAGCTCCGGAGGAAGCGGGTCGAGCCTCTTCCTTACAAGAGAAGAAACCCGTCCACATTCCGGTAAACCAGCCAGCCTCTTTTTCCTTTTCTGTTCAACTTTTTTGGCTCTAGATTCTGTATTGTACAAGAGAAGATGTATGAATATGCACAAATTCCACCAACTCCAGACTCCCATGACGTATACCTAAAGGGTATCCATCTATCATCCATCCGACACAACATAATATAAACAATTATTCCGATAAATCCGCCTCCTCCAACGTATTCTTCACCCACTCAATTTTATTCAACGGCCACACCCTTGCGATAATCTTCCCATTAATAAGCGCCATCGGTATAGGTCCATAATTTCTGGAATCCCTCGACCACGGCAAATTATCCCCAGCAAGATAGACATGACCTTCAGGAACCTACACCAAACACAAAACCCATTAGCTTGACCCCCAATCCCAAACCAACAAAAACCACAAAGGAGAATGTGGAAAATGTAAAAATACTCACTCTAATCATCTCCCCCTCCCCACCAACCTCCCTACTAAACGGCAAATCCCTACACACAAAATCCCCCGGCAACCCAATAACCCTCTTCGCCCCATTGACCCCCAAAAACGTCGGATGATAGAACCGCACCACGTCCCCGACCTGGATTCCGCGCCCGTGCTTGTGCACTCGCGATATGAGAAGGTAGTCGCCCCGCGGACTGAAGGTCGGGTACATCGAGGGCCCTTCGCTCAGTTGTACCGTGATCAGGTGTTCCCAGATTAGTGTGCATGCGCAGAATACTCCCAGGCTGTTGAGGCCGAAGCGGAAGATGTGGCCCGGGGTGCTGCGCTTTAGGGTATGGCGGAGGAAGCGGTCCATTTTGTAGATTATTTTTGTTTTTGTTTTCTTTTGTGTTATTGGGGTATGTTATGGTGGTTTCGGGGGCATGGTAGTAGTCGTTCAATTCGTTTGTAGGTTATATGATTGCTGGATTGGATGGACTAGTTTGGTGTAGTTTGCTTGGTATGACGGCGGAGAGGCTTCGGAGGTTTGGGTGGTCATGTGATTAGCCGGTGAGGGGGAGGGTATATAAAGGGTTTTGTGCGGGAGATTTTTTCTCTCTTCCTACAGAAATGTCGTGAGCGACAGACACAACTCAACGCCAGACTTTCGATCAATCGATATAATAGATTGATTGATTATTGCTACATCCATGATGGATGATCTGATAGCTTAATGCAGCTAATTGGATTCATCCCATTGCTATTATGATTATTACTGTTTTCTTGTTTTGCGTTATGTTTTCTGCTATATTCGCTTCTAAAATTGCTAGAGCTCACCGCTGCCGAAATTAAACACCAGAGCGCGTGAGTGTGGACAGTGAAGCAAGATGAATATACATCTCATCATTCGTGGTGGGATTCCCTGAACGATAGCCCGGCTTGGACCCCATTTTGTTATGGGAATGGAAAACTGGGTGGTACCGATGGGACACATCCATCTTTTATACTATCGTAGTTGTTGATAGTCGAATGCAATTGCAATTACATATTCATATTCATATTCATTCACTTGGTATCATTAGTATCATCACATACCCAACATCATATATCCTAATCCTCCCACATCCCATCCGCACCTACACAACCCATCAATTAGCACACACCCCCAAATCAACATGGAACTTAAACAAAGTGGAAAGAGGAATAGAAACTCACCCTCAACCATCACCCCCTCCCCCTCCCCCTCCAACCCCTTCCTCTTCTCCCTCTTCTCCCTATAATCCACTCCAAACCTCTCATCCCTCTCCTTCACCAACTCCCCCAATCCCCCCGGACAAGCAATCTTTACTCTCTCCTCACTCGTAAAACTCGCCATCAACTCCGGCGCCCCCATCGGCACCGCATCCCCCCGATCGACCTGCCACAGATGATACGTCTTCCCATACAACGGCACAATATCCTTCATTTCCGCCGTCTCGGCTGCGTCCCACACGACATTCGGAACGCTCGCTGGCGCAGGCATGATTAGCATCCCGCTACTGACTTCGTAGACGTGCGTGTGCCACAGTTTCTTCTCTTCCGCGGGCAATGTCGCGAAGAGCTTGGGCGTGATCATGTATTCGATGCCGAGGAGGCGCGCGTTGGGCGCGGTGCTATCGTAGAGGAGGCATTGGCGTAGATCTAAATATTGTCATTGTATTAAATTAGTTGGGTGGTTGTGTGGTTTAGTTAGTTATATGATTGGGTTTTTATTAGGGTGAGATTCATGCGATGCGACTGGGGATGGGGATATACCCTCTGTGATATGGGAACAGTAGTGATTTGCCTCCACGTAGCGCGTCTTGTCGGAGGCGTAGACGTGGAATGCGTTCAGGTGCGCGCAGATGTGCTTCACGGGCGTGAAGTCTTGGATGGCGCTGGCGCCTGCCTCGAGCACTTGGCTTTTGGTCGTTTTGGCGGTGCCGGGGAGGCCGTCGGTTGTTTCGGTGGTCATTTTGTGGAAATGGATATGAGAAGCAAGGTATATTGGGGGACTAGTTGGTTGGTAGTTGGCGTTGAGGTGAGGATGGGGTTTCTATACTACTTTTTGTCGAAGTTGCATCTGACGTCACGATGATCGTTTTGGTGATGGGTTGGATGTATACAAAAATCAATGTCATTGTTATCTCAATGGCTGAATACGTTTTCTTGGGTTTATAGGGGTAGGTTGGATTTGTGGATCATATTCATTCTTGTGATACTGCTAGTGTACTTGACTATTGTATGGTCCATATTTGGCCAATTTACATACTGTTCTTCATCTCTCTCAGCGCCGCCATGACCTCCACTGGGTCTGTCTTGCCGGTCTTCTTCTGGATCTCGGGGTCCTGTAACATGTTAGCTGGGTCTGTCTTTCAAATTGATAGGGGAGACTCACGTTGACGCGCATGAATACATTATGGAGCTGTTCCTTGTCAGTCTCAGCCAACAACACAGGAGGCAGAACAAACCTTCTCATCACCAATCGTGAACTTGCCCTGAGTTTCTTGGTTGGCATTGGCAAACGCCTCCAGCTTCTTAATGGGCTCAGACTGCGAAACAGCAAGGCAGAACTTGACGTTGCCCTTGGTGTATTCATGTCCAGGCTGCAAAGCATCAGTAAGTGCCAACATGAATCACACCAAAACACTCACGTAAACCTTAGTATCATCCGGCAGTGCAGCCAGAGTCTCGTTCAAAGCCTTGTGCATTTCTGGGGCCGTACCCTCGAAAAACCGGCCACATCCTGTATCCTATTAGTTTGGACCCAGTCCGCTCACTCAGTAGCTGAACTCACCTCCGATAAACAAAGTATCACCGGTGAAGACAACCTTGTCGTCTCCATCCTGCATGAAGTAGCAGATACTGTCCTGCGTGTGGCAGGGCGTGTGCAGCGCCTTGACGGAGATGCGCTCTCCGATCTTGAAGACTTCGCCGTGTGCCGGGGTGATGGTGACGGATTGGCAGTTCTTCCCGCCAATGACGGAGAGTTGGCCGAAGGTTTTCAGCTTTTTCAGTTAGTTTCGAGTTATGTCTTTGTAGAGTGTGTAGCTCACAATTTCATTGTTACCACCGGCGTGGTCCCAGTGACTGGAATGGTTAGCATCGGTATAGGCCCGAGAAGGAAGAACACGTACTGATGAGTATTCACGATAGACGTAAGCTTAATCTTTCCCGCGTCGATCTGAGATTGCAGCGTCGGAGTCACCCTGGACTCTCGCATCAGCTCAGCTCAACCTTCTCGCAAGACTCATTTTATCAAGCCAGCAAGCTGGCACATACTCAGGCGGATTAGCCGGGTCAATAATAACAGACTCCTTGGTCGGCTCATCCGTGACCAGGTAGGCATAGTTATTGCCCTTCCCGGTCCCTAACAGAACAAACTTGGTTAGCAAATAAGACCTCAATGAATAATGTAAGCAAGTACCTTGGGGGCACGTCTCGAGGGTTTATTTTATTAATTCTAGGAACTACTTACACATCGGGATCGACTGTACATGCATGGCTCTAATTTGTTGCACTTGCGCTCTCACGGGTTGAAACCTCACGGAAGACCAGACAGCTCTGGTAAGGCACATGGATAAGTATAAGGTAACAGCAAAAGTGTTAGTGCTTGAACTTTTTGGAATGAATGCGGGGGTGGTGGTAACATTGATTGCTAAGAAGCTAAGCTAACTAATCTATGCCACCTGCGCCATACTTACTAACTGTGTAAGCAAGTCTTTTGGCGATTACCTCATAGGCTCGTTCCGCGGAGAGCTCAGCCACGTGTGGCTATGACGCTAGGCTGCTTTCGGACGTGACATTTTCCACTTTAATCTTTAGAAGACTGGTAGATGCTACTTGGATGCTACTTAGTGTCCTTTTGGGTGTGAAATTGAGTTGGTTTCGCTGAGCATCGAGCCGTGGCACAGCATGATAATATTGGAATCGTATCCGCTGTCTATACTATCCCTAACGGTCGCGTATCCCACGTATCTACTGTCTCCCATCCGAATTTCTTCAACTCTTTCAGTTCTTCGGCATCTGCAGTCCGCTTGAGGCCAGACCCGTCCTTCTTTGACTGATTCTTTGATGTGGACGCCAGATTCTTAGGTGCCAGATCGTCCGTCCTCTGCTGTAGGCTCTCCTTAAGAAGCGCCGTCCAGTGATTGGAACTCTGCTCGCAAACGGCAAGAAGGTAAGCGTGGGACAGTAGTCGTCTCCGAGACCCCCATTCCGGCGATTGAAGTATATGGTCCAGCCACATGTACAATCCTTCGAGCTGAGGGTCATTTTTCACGTTCCTTGAGCCTGAAAAGGCCAGTACATTCACCATCTCCTCCGTCAGGGATGCCAGAGCCGGGGGATGGCCCTCGGCGAGCATCTGTAATAACGAATCCCATTTAGCGAACATTCCCGTCATGGAGTCACCCATCCTGGTGCCAAATTAGCTTATGAAGGTCATAGAACTTTCAAAATATAGAAAACTCACTTGCGACCAGCAGGAACCAACAATGAGTCCTCCACGATCACGCCTGCTAGCGCAGACGCCCCACGACGGGAGGACTTGCAAATCGAGATCAAATGCGTAGAAGTAAACGAGACATTCTGCTGGAACCGCCTCTTCTTCCGCGGTGGCTCTGACGACTCCTCTTCAGTCAGTAAGTGCTCGAATTCAGTTCTCAAAGCCGCCTTGATCGGCTCGATGTCGTCTTCAGCGCCGTCAAATGCCTCTGGTTCCGACACAGGCACCGTATCAGCACTCAGGTCAGTCTTGGACCAGTAGTAGTCCCACAACCACTCAAGGGACCGCTGTGTGGCATTGCGCAGCACTGTCAGGGAAGGCAGTTCACGATGCGTCGCCTCGTGACGCAGTTCCACAAATGAGGCCGGTAGGCCCAGATCAATAGCTCGTTGGAACATGGTCTTACGCTGACCGTTCAGCTTGGAGTCGACGAGCCCCGTCACGAATCTGTCTGTCGTTAGCGATTATTACTACACAGCCATACGGAAACAATTTGTTCCATGAGCAAAGTGGATGATCATACCGACAAAACGCAGCCGAGTACGTAGCCCGAATAGAAAAGATGGAATTTTTCAAGGCATCATCATGGAGAATGGCGTCCGTTAGCAAGGCCGTGGCTTCAACAGGATGTGGCAGGTTTCCCCGTAGCTTCCAAGCTGCAACCTATCATAACTGTTAGATCTAGTAGACTTATTCATATATTTCAGGGCGGATTTTCGCATACAGTGGCGCAGGCCTTGGAGCGCATGTCGGGCCCATCATAGAAGGGTGCAGGGTAGAATTGACTCCGCACCGCGAGTAATTGCGAATGCTCCTTCCATGGTGTGAAAATGACCTTTGCCATTTTGTTACTGATTGATTTAGCAGTTTCAAATGTGATGATTCACCCTCACCCTGCACTGGCCGGGGGTACACTGTACATCTTCGTCGACAGTGATTTTGTTCACCCGGAATAAGGTTGTTCCCGCCGCTGCGACTCCTTATCGGTTCGGCTGCGTTGATTCGTTCATGAAAATACTATGTACTAAGTAGGTTAACTACAAAGTAGACCTACTACCACTAGGTTCTCTCTATTCTGTTGCTTACGTATTATTGATGCTTTGTGCAATCTGTTATCAAAGATATTCTCGTAATTGTTACATTCACTGGTGTCTAATACATGCAATTCAAGTTCAACCAATCCTCCCTGGGTATCCTGTACTGTATGCTAAATTGAAAACGCCTCCGAAACAATAACTCCACGCTATGCAATGCTGTAGCCCGAAAACCGAAAAGAGCAATAATCAAGGGCGGTAAACGCGACAGTGTCGGAATCAAATCCATCCATAACCATAATTCATACAGGGTTGGCTAGCCATGTTAATAAATGGCTGGGAATCGACCACGGCATGCTGCTCGAGGTCGTCGTCATCAAAGAAAAAGGATCTTTGCATCATGTTGCCAGGTGCTTTGATCGGTTGTTGAAAAGTCTCAGCTTCAGGCTGCTTAGGGTTCGAATCAGTGCCCTTGTTGTTGACGGGGCTCTCATCCTGATTTTGTTCGTCGTCATCGTCCTCATCCTCCTGGTCATCTTCATCGTCCTGGTCTTCGGCTTCATTGTCGGAAGACGGGGTGAAAGTCTCCTCCAACTTCAGCCCCTTGCCGGAAAGCCCTAAGAGCGAGTTTCCCAGCGAAGCTTCCGGGTTGCTGTATAGACCCATTCCGACGAGTTCATCCTCGTTCTGCTTCTCGTGCAAGGACTCTACCTGCGAATGCAGGTCGTCATCAGGTCGCTGAATAGGTAGAAAGTCAGGCGTAGGAGGGCCAGTCAAGCAACCCGACGACGGTACACTCTCATAACTCGAACCTGCGACGTAGACTGGAGGGATGTTGTTGTGCATGGATGACATGTCGAAAGAGTAGCAGTCAGACATAGGTTCTGCCATTGCCGACAAGGTTGAAGCGCTGGTGTCCCAGGAGACGGGCTCAATTTGAGACTCGCTCATCGGCAGCATGGTAGATTGTTGGAGCGACATCTGATGCTGTGCATCAGGCAGGGAAGGGAATCCCATATCCGAGCATGGAATATCTGTTGAGGTGTAGGATGACATCAGGGAAGAGTTGTCGAAGGTTGCAGAGGCAGTAGGCAGTGGCTGAGGGCACACGCCAATGGCGGCAAAGTTGTCCAACGCCGTAGTTGCTGGCACATACTGAGTAGTAGGATAGCTAACAGGCTCCAAAGCCGGATGCCAACTTGTCGGACGGTTCTGGCCAGTTCGGGCAAGTGCAGAGGCTACAAAGGCAGTGTTGACGGGAGCCTGGTAGCCTTGGTACATGGGCGAACTGTAAGGGATGGTTGCTGTGCGCCGTCTGCCAGCAGACGAAGGACTGTTCCCAGCGCTGCGGGGTTTCATCACTCGACCCGTCCGCTTGGGTTTAGGGAAAGCATGGATCAAGTCACGAAATGTCGAAGTGCGCCAGCATGACTGGTTGCCCTGAACCCAGCTAGGGTTGGCAAAGGACGATTGGGGTTGCCAGTAGTCGGCCATTGAGAAGATGGTGAGATGTTGAGAGGGAGAGAGAGGGATAGAAGACTTGGGTATGAAAGATAGGACTGAGAGGAGGTGGATGGTCAATTGAAAGTGTGAGGAGGGAGGTATGTGATATAAGCATACATAGTAGTAGTAGGTGAGAGGCTAGAAGGATAAGACGGGATGGTTGGATAGGGCGGTGGTTAGATTATATGGAGTATCAAGCACGGATAGGATCCGTGGATGATGACTGCAGGAATATGTAAAGGATCTCCGAAGACTGGGGTTCGAGACTTATCATCTAAAGATGACACAGGGGGCGTGAGGGTCACAAGGCGTGGAGGCAAGGTACAGTTAAGTGCGTGCGGTACTAAGTAGCAAGCCCAGTGCCTAGTCGAGTAATGGACCCAGATGGTTCGGATAAGTAGTAGATTATGCGGTAAAGAGTAAAGTAGGAGCGAATCTAAAAAAGTAAAAAAGAAAGGCAAAAAAGGGGAGATGGAATAAAAAAATAATATTAATAATTTAATAGTAGATGGGGAAAGAAAATTAAAATAAGGAAAAGGAAGGCCCTACATGAGGGTGATACACGGAGATGTGGGACGCATGTACATGGGCATTTCTTGATCTACCATCCGCCCCAGTTCCACGATCCATTACTGTAAGTAAGAAGACTAATGGGTTAGTGGGAGCGGGCACATGTTGGGATGACACGACGTTGACACTAACGAAAGCAGACTAGTTGGTGGGAACCGAACAGGGCAAGACATGAGACGAGAGGAGTTGAAGGGGGGGCTCAGACTACTAGGACTGAGTCTAGTCTAGGTACCAGGAAGGGGAGGAAATGGCAAGGAAGGAAGGGGACCCAAGGAAGGATGGTTGATGATGATGAAGATGATTCAGATGAGCCTATGCCACACGAATGCTGTCTCCACTCCGAAAGTACTCTTCTGGGACTTGCGAAGCGGGCAATCAATCCTGGCTCTGACTCTGTGCTGGCAAAAATGACTTCTGGACTGCCCTGGGCCCATGGAAATGGGGCTGGTTTAGTGGCTAACGGCGGGTGACGATGGGGGAATGGATAATACTGTCGATGGTGGGGATGATCAGACCCATTGGCAAAAGAATTTGATGGACTTGCAGTGTCCACCGGGAGGGGGGAAGAAATATGGAACAGAGGGTCAAGAGAAAAACGAGGGAAATGCGGCAGAGCGGCAAATGATTGGATGGGAAACTGAAATCGGAGCTCCAGTCCAGGGAAAGGCAGCAAAGATCATGGATGGAACTTAAAGAAGGAACCAGAAAATGGCCGGGCCCTCTTCATGGACCCCCTCAGCTCCCTCTCTTCCAAAGCCAAAATGAGTAGTGAGTGACCGAGTGATTGACTTGACTGAGTGACTGACTTGACTTTTGACTTGCCTGGGACATGCCGAAACTAAACTAAAAGTAAACTAAACTAAACTTTCCACTAGATACGACGCACAGTAGTAAGGCCCGTGTGAGAGCCCCATGGGAAGTCTGGGGCTAAACTGGGAACTTTTTGGGAGTTACTGCGTCTTCCTGCATCCTTTTCTGCTTCTTCTTACCATACCATACCAGCCAAGGTGCCGCCCGTTGCCTGCATTCTGATTGATTTCCCTGTCCTCCCTGTCGGGTAGATACTACGGAGTACGTGCTATTTCGGTTATAATGCAGTGAGGTGGTTATGGTAATTAGTGAGTGCTCGGTGTCTTTCTACTTAGTTAACATGCGACAGACAGGTACGGTGATCAGTTACATTCATGACCGAGGTGCGACTTTGCGCTTACTTGGTAACTAGTCAAGTCGGTCTGCTGAGACTAACTACTACATGTAGTACCAACCCACTGTATGATTGTATGATACTTCACAGAGCGCCGCCCCATCAAAAGCAAGAAAAGGTAGCACTAAACTACTGCCGGTGTGTTTAGATTAATTCCCCCCCTCTCTCACCTTCTCGATGACGCAGCCGTGCCATGGCCCTTTGTACGGTGCCTGGGAGAATTTTGCGATCTATTAGTCACGCTGTACCAGGGGTAACTATGTATCTCTATGATAGGTAGGTAAGTTATGTAGTACTAGTACTTTTAGGCAATGAAGAGAGTGTGTGTGCAACCACTCTCCTTGAGTCACTTCTAGCCCAGGCTGTTGCTGGCCCCTCCAAACATACATACATACATACATACATGCATGGGTGAAGGATGGTTGGATGGATGGATGGATGGATGGCCGGACCCAAATCGTGATACACTTCGCAACTCTCCTCAGCCGTCTTAGTCATGATGGGAATGCCCGCGGTGAAGCGGTAATATTGGCCTGGCAAATGACCCACGATCCGACCCGATCGTCAACCCTGCGGCCAAACACTCTCTCCCAACTCTCTTTCCGTTCCATTCCATCTTTACTGTTTCTGTTTCTGTTTCTAACTAGTAGAGGATGATTCTTCCTTACCCGTATTACATAGTCTCCTACTACTCCGTAACTAGGCACACATTTGCCCCCCCTCTCGTCTTCTCCTCTTTCCCTCCCCACCCACTCCCTCCTTCGTCTCCTCCCTCGTTAAGTAACCCCTTCAAGCCCAGTCTTGTCCCCACAAGTTCACCGTTTCCAACGCGTCACAACGCCCGTTACGCAAGGGTTACAATAATGCGGAAAGTTTCCAAGGGCAGAGTTGCTTCCCCTGTCCGGAGTACGTATCGACATCGGATGCAGGTCTGGCCCAGTTCTCTACCCGGCAACCTCAGCAAGCTAGGCACATAACTTACACCATCCATCCCACCCATCCACATAGCAAGCAAGCAACACTCTAATTTGGTAGTCGTCGTATCGCATCCTCTTCCAGCCTGGCGATAGATCGAGACAAGGGCGGGAAAGAGCATGCGGATGGTCGAACAAGCTGCCTTCCGTCTCATTCCTTGTCATCGTCATCCTCGTCCTTCGGCATCCCCGGGCGCACATCCCATCATCCCGCCGACCATCCTTTCTAAATACTGATTCCTTGGGTGCTTGTGCTTCTATTGCTGTCCAACCGCGCCAGGGTGGGAGGCATCACCGTTATCACACATACTTGCAACCACTGATAGATTACTAGCCCAGAACTAATTTGGACTACCCACCAGGCCTGACTCGGTGAACCACTTGTCTCGTGAAGCGCTGAGCTGATGATCATTGATTGCTCTGGGCAATTCATTGGCCAGACAGGTGTGCTACTCCATACTTCATGCGTGCACAAGAGGCCAAGATTGCCTCGTTACCTTGGCACCAGCACAGGTTATACTATCACCACTTCTCCAACCATAGTACAATGATCAAGTAACTGTACCTATCTTCCGAATCCCGATCGTTATTCTTGCTTATCAATTTCCTGTTGCCGGTCAATCTATTTCGTTGTGGATCACATGTTTCATAGCCATAATACGTGTGACGAGCCGGATTAGATCAGCTGGCTGAGTGGCTGAACGGTGAAAGCCTACTTGCCGTACGGACCACCTCTCGGTGTAGGGGGGAGGAGGGGATTAGGGAAAACGGAAAGTTCGGCTAGAAATGACAACACTTGGACTGGGTTCAGGGATCGGAGAGGGGGGGCGTTATACGGAGAGTACGGAGTACGGAGCACTCAGAAACAGAATTTGCTCAAGGCCGGAGAAAGAGTGGGGTGTGCACTCCTACTTTTGCTACTACAACACGCAAGTCGCAAGAGGCAGTGAGAGAGACAAGAGAGAGGGAAACACCGCTCGGTATCAAGAGACTCCACAGGTCAGGCTGGCTGTCTAGCTTATCCGGGATGGAAGTGGGCTGGTGCCAATAAATGCATTTTTACGAGTCCAGCTGCACCAGAAAGAGAGGTACAGCAGATAGGTTCCGCCTAGAGCGCTAATGCCCCCCATCATATGTAATCGACAAAGGATGCCGGGGCGGAGGATTATTCCATTGACATGGGGACCATTTCCAGAACCAGGGTTACTACCGGAGCAAGACCGACTAAAAGCAGAGCCCTACCCACTCCGGTTAGTCCCCGTGGCGCCCCTCGAGAAGCCTAAGTAAGTACCTGAAGGCTGAGCCCGAGTCACTTTTAGTGCGCCTTTGGGTCAGAGTTACATGCGCCCCTCCTCCTTCTGGTCTGCTCGGCCGCCTTCAACTTGGTCCTAAGGGAAAAAAGAACAGCGAATGTGCCTAAACCTGCATAGGGCCAAAGAAGGGGGCGCAAGAGCAGAGAACAACAATAAAAAGAAAAAGTAAGAAAGAGGCCAAGAAGGGACCCTATCTGGATGAGGTAAGTATCTCCTGTTCGGATGTATCCAACTAAACTAACGTTCTCCCCGTGAGAGCAATAATGCGGCCACCGTGCTCCGGCCACCGGGGCTCAGTTCACATATACGACAGCCTGGCGATCGGGATTTGTGGCACTGCATCAGTCACGCCCGTTCTAGTCCATCTGACTGACGCCGGTACGTAAATGAAATTTGGTAACGAGGCACTTATTCGAGGAGAACTGGCAAAAGCATCCGCAACAATAAGAAACAAAATAAAATAGAAATTAAACGGACAAAAATACGATTGCTCGTCCCGGTTCAAAACCCGGCTGTTCGGGGAGGCGGATAGCCTTCCATTGTACTAGAACCGCGCCAGATGCGTGGCAGGCCAGATCGAAAGGGTAACGAACTCGAGAAAACCTCCGTGCGACGCCTTAAGCGGGTACAATCACCACTAATCAAGATACATCATCGAAAAAGCGACTAATCAGATGGTTGAGATCATCGTCTGGACGCCCTACAAATCAGAAGCCGGAGATTACAGGAGGGGAAGCATCGGAATGCATGTGCAGGCCCACCTGACGGCAGGGGACTGGGAAACTGGAAACCGTGAGATGGGAGGGCCAGTCGAGCAGAATTCCAGAAGGCTTGGGGGCCAAATCAGCCCTCGATTGGGTTATGCAATGGATGGAAACGGGAGACAAAAATGGAAAGGGAGGGGGCAGGAAACAGAAAAAAAAGAAAGAAAAAATTTTCAATCAATTAATATATCGAAAAAGGAAGGGGAAGGAGGGGGGAAAAGGAGGAAAAAAAAGTAAGAGAAAAAAAAAAAAAGATGTTCTCAGACCAAGTGGGTCAAACTCCCATATCTCCGTTTCTACGGGAATACGGAGTCGAACTGGCTGAACAGGGATCCTACCAAGAAGCAGGAAGGTCAGGTAAGCTACCAGTTAGCTTTGTATGGTACTACGGTAACCACTCAGCCTAGCTCTAGTCTACTACTCAGTAGCTTGCGAGGTCCAGGATCTATTCGTTACCTGCCGGTCGTCTGCTCTAAGTGGTGCTCTACACGCCGTCCAGTCAGCCGAGGCTCGCAAACGGCGCTTTTCAACAGCCAATGAAACCCCGTCGTTACTGATCTGATAGGTTACAACCAACGACGCTTTAAGCCTTCAACAGTACGTACTACTATACTATACTATTCTATACTATACTGGTTGGAATTGGATCACTCGTTTGGAGTATGCTGGATTACCTCGCCAGGGGTGGTGATGATCCCTCACGGGGGTACGCCGTAAGGACTACACAACACCGAGCGCCTAACTTACTGTACATTCTGCGTGCGTGATATGCTCGACGCCTTGACTTTCGGACTTGTCCACCTCCTACTCCTAGTATACAAGGGTGCAGGGATGAACATCAGCCACCATTCCACTCAGGCAGACTACCTCAGGGGGTGATTGTCAACAATCGGATAGACTCGACAGCTCGTGCCCGCTGGTGCCACCGAGATGGTATCTAACAGGTAGCAAGGTTCGGCTAACATGTCATTAGCTAATAATTGAGCGAAAGGCTAAAAGATCACGAAGCGATGCGCCCTCCCGGCGGGACCCGCGCATCCCTGGGATATCAGAAAGTTAGAACTCAATATAAGGTCTCTCAGTTCACACGCTATCATTATTACGCCACGGATCAATTACGAAAGGGCGTTAGGATAGATACTACTATATGAGCCAAGGGCTTCGGCTCGTGATATCAGGATTAAGTGTAAGACCTTTTAGCAGGATACAAGCCCCCCCCCAACGCGCTGGTCTAACCGACCTAAGCCGCTTGCAAGGTTTAAGTTGGCTGCTTCATGGGTATTCATCTACTATGGAGTAGACTAGCTGGACTTCGTTAATTGTGGTGTTTCTTGGCCCCTTGCCTTTACTGCAGTGTAAGTGATGGGCCAAGAGAAAGCAAAAAGCAACGTCTACAATATAGTGAAAACGACGGATGAGTGCGGAGAAAGTGATGGTTTGGGCTAAAACGTGATTAGTATGGGACGAACTTGGACTAGATAGTAATAATAATAATAACAACGATAATAATAATAATACACAAAATTAATGATGGACAATGGGGCCCATCCGTCAGGGGCCATGGTCGCGCCTGCATAGCACCCTAGCTTCCCCATCAGAATTCAGACGCCTAGCTGAATGTATGCCGCTCGATCCAGCAACCAAGTAAGCGAAATGGCGGTCGCCGTCCGAGACAGGCCCAAAGTAAGCAGCAATTTGTTAGTCTCGTTAGTCGCACTCTGTAGTTGGCTTCGGAGAAAGTCAACTCAGAACGGAGTAGCGATCATCCAACTTCTTGATTAGTTCCAAGCCAGTGATCAACTCGCAACGCGCCTTCAAATCTTAGCTTTCTTTTTCCGAAGCCACTCCTCGCTAGCATGTCAGAATTCGTCTCACTCTCTCGGCTGTTTCTTTTATTGCTCTCGCCGCCTTCCCTTACTACTAACTATTCTAACTAACTATGGAGTACGGCCTGAGGATTAACGTGTCATCAGACCATGGTTAGGCCCGAGCGTCAAAACTGGCCTTTCTCAACAATGAAAAACATTGGACGCTAATTTATATTTGGCTTACTTTAGTGGCATGTCATTGATTCACCTGCCCCTAGATAACTAAATTTGTGTTATGCCGCCGTAAGAAAGGAAAAGCCGGCTCTCTCTCTCTCTCTCTCTCTCTCTCTCTCTCTCTTCCAGCTTGGTTACTAGCATCTTCTAGCATAGCAGCAGTGCCCGGCTATCATTGGCTGCCGACGAAAGTGCTTACATGCGCTGCTGTGCTATCAGGGGCTCCAAGCCTCCTTCATACAATCGTCATCTAGCCATGCTTCCTGATGCGATCTCACCCCAACAGTAACTAGCACCTTACTTCGCCCGCTTTACAACTGGAGCTGGAGCTGGATCTGGAGCACCAGGCTGCAACCGACCGTGAAATCAAGCCATCGGCGCAGGGTGGATGTGACACGGCATTCCACTGATACCGCCATCACCTGGCCCCGTGTGATTTGTCCTGATTGTTCATGGCTGACCACATAACCCACCCTGGCACAGTTGTTGATACGGGTCTCGCAAAGCTTTTTCTCCTCCGCGGGCATCAATCATCGTCAACGATTAAGTTACTAGCAGACGGTGATTGACCGCGTGCCCTCACCGACGCCACTATTATGTCTGAGCTCGCAAGCAGATCGCGCGGCAGAGTCGGAACCCTCCTATAATAGTTACGTAGGTAGGGAGGAGCCTGGACGAGAAGGCCCAAAACCACCACCCAAGTGGGTCATATGTAAGCTGCATCTGCCATTTGACGACCGGAAACGACACGCAAATTGCGACATAATACGGAGCAGTCCGAGACCTAAGCAATCGAGGCGGAGTACGTAGGATGTATGAGCCTTGATGTTTGAGAGGTTTATCGAGTCGAGCCGTTTTCCAGGCTGGTTTTAATCCTGCAATTACCATTCCGCGGACCGTCAGCCGCGAGTCTTCTCTTGTCCTCACTAATCTATCTACAACTAATCAAGGCTCCTACGGGAGGCATCTGCAGGTGGCCATGAGTCAAAATGGCGTACATACATATACCGCCAGTAGGTCCATGCATGCATGCATGGGAACCAAAATAGGGCGCTGTCCATCCGGCCAATGACGAGACATATTCGGGCTCAATCTTTTGTCTCCAAATGCAGCAGACGACAATAGTAGGGTGAAATGGTGGAGTATGGCTGGGCAGCGGCGAGTTACACAACAAACCAGATCTCATCATAATACACGGAGGAGCATGCATGATCTGCTGTAGGCAGACGTGCTGGCAATGCCGATGCGAGGTAGGCACCTACTGTACGGAGTACGTAGGTATCTTCAGCTGCGACCACATATTTCGGCAGATACTGCAGCATTCTGGATTCTTGCATTGTTCGGATCTGAAGGGAGGGGGGAGGTATCACACAGAATGTGGCCTGTGCTTAGGTTTGTCCTACGTGTCAACCAACCAGTAAGGAAGAGGCATGAAACCTGGATGTAGTATAAAGTGGACTGGGGTCTGGAACGCTATGATTACTACACACTAACAACAGGTTTGGATACAATGCCTCATGCCACCGGCATTGGTTGAAGTTCGTCGTCAGCCTGACAGTTACATTCTACCCCCGAGCATAGGAGGAGGAGGAGCAGCAGCAGTAGTACATAGTCTTAGTGTATGAAAGTGGGCAAATGACGAGGAGGAGGGGGTGGGAGAGCCCGATGCTTACCATACCATACCGCTCGAATCAGGTATAGCCGTCAGGCCACCATTGCAAGGCCAAATGTGACGGTGTCAGGCATGCATTTTGAATGCAGGCAGGGAATTGGGATGGATTCTGCGAAAGAGGCGGACTTGCATCTCGCAGAACGAAAGGCAATGGAACCACATGACCTTCCTTGCACCAATGAACCTAAGAAACTGATAGCACTGCGCTCATCACATACATTGCCTGCCTTAGGTGCTCATTATCTAGTAGCGAGGCTTTCCGGCGGCTGCTTCAGCCTATGACGCTACAAGAGGGGCTTGTACATAATAGTACTGTGCGCCGGACCAGCATCACCTTCCATCATTGTTGCCCCTCGAAAGGGTCTCCGCAGATGCAAAAGACCCGATACCAGATGTGGTCTAGGGATACGAAGGCGCCTTGGGTCGTTTCACTACCCCTGGCAATCAGATCCAGGCAGCGATGCACTTCTCTCCTCCACCTCCACCATCCTCTCGCGGTGTGCTGGGGAGAAACCCACCAAAACAGGATAATGCTATTTCCCGAAAAACACTGTCCAATTCCCCATTTCAAAGCGAAGGGAAGCAAAGAACTACTGCTAAAACTGCACCCGGTACTCCATACCAACTTAAGAGTAAGAGAAGAGGGGCCGACCAGCAAAAGATAATCCGGTTGACAGACTCACTATTAGAAGATCGGCGGTAAATCGCACCAAGCCCGACTGCACTGTGACCCAGTTGCGGTCAATGATAGTCAGCGGTCCACTGATGGGGGATTTACTAGAACCGGCAAACCAGTCAGCGCGAGAGACGAACGACCTTTCTCCGTTCGTTAAGTTCCCAGGATTTTCCCAATATTAGGGATTAATCATCGACGGTGGCTGAGATTCCCGAATTGTTGCTGGTTTGCTGCTGCACTTGTCACGGACTCACGGCAGATCCATCATAAAGTGGGGTACGTACCCGATTTGCCGCAGCCAAATTTGCCCCGAACGAAATTAGTCTTAGCTGGTCTCCAAATTTTCCTTTCTTTTTTCTTTTTTTTTTCTCTTTCCCAATTCAATTTGATTTCTTACAAGTACTTGTGCAGTTGTGCTTGTCTATCTGCTCATCACACTCCTCATTCGGATTTCCCCCTTCACCTCCCTCGCACCCTAGTGCCTCCTTTGCATGATGCTAATCGGCAAACAGCGGGTATTGCCACAATCCACCAGCACCACTACCACCAATGAAGTATTGTCGAGGGATGTCTGACCGTTGGTGGGTCAATCTAGTTCAACTCTTGCGAGCAAATAACGCGTCCAGGATCCTGTCAATCAGACGCTACCTGACCTATGGATCTGTAAAAAAGTGATCCTTTTCCTTCTCGGAGGCTTGGTCTCATCATGGCCTTACGGAGGAAGTCAAAGCCAGCTGGATGAGTGTAGTGGCGGTATGCAGATTGACCCTCCCTTCGAAAAGGTAAACTGTTGGCGATAATCCCTCCATTCCTAATGGAGTCGTGCGTTGGGGCCGCCCGCAAATTGTCAAGTTTCTCCCACACAGATTTCTCGGGCTAAGCGGCCTTGGATATATTAGCTATTCTCCGGTGTCTTGATTAACCTTTTACGTAGGCGGATTTCCATGCTCGGCCGAGTAGGGAAATGGTTAGCGGACCACGGAGTACTATCTACACAAGAGACCGAGAAAGTATGGTTCCCTTTCCACTTGATGGGGACCGGGACCTGCAATGATTGATGATGTATGGACGACAAGTTGAGTTCCGGCCATGACTGGAGTTCGGAAAGCCACATGGCTGACTATTCGTCCCGCCCCAATAGTCGATACTTTCTCTCGGTAGTGGAAGTTTTCTCTGATTGTCTCTTGCATCATCCGGGGTACCCTTTGTGGTTTGTGGCTCAAGGCTGGAACTTCCCATCGACAGCCGATGCTAAAGATGGAAAGAAGACAAGAAAGACAAGAAGTCCCCTTGTCGTAATCTACGTGTCCAGCGACCGTGTACAAAGTTCGAAGGAGAGATGTGCAAAACAAGTTTTTGGAACACGGCAAGTCATCGTCGTGACGCTGCAATGTCCATCCTCATTCATTCAACAAAATCCTCGCAAAACCGTAAATAGATGAAGAGGGGCAGAAACGGGAGCCGCGGGATTGTCGGGTGGTTGTTGTGGTGGTTGTTATTATTACTACATATAGGGCAGTGGAGCCCGGATTATTCGGTGGCTGGCAAACATGGCACGTTGTTGTTATGTGTGCCGGTTGTTCCCAAAGGGCTGATCACCTCACTTTATTGCTCCCTAAATTAGCCTCGACCTGACTTTGACCTGACTTGAGTGACTATCTGGTACTGACCATGGCTAACTAACTATGGCCCGCTGCTAACGCGCCTAGATCGAACTGGCCTCGGGGGGCGCGTGGGTTGCGAGTTATTGAACCTAACCCCGATGACTACTGGATTCAGTTAGTTACTATCTACTGTGTTCCACTGTCTTGTATTATTATTATAATTGTGCCCCAAAGAAAAAAATTAAATAAATAAATAACCACTTGCCCAAGACGGGCTAAGAAAGTCTGTTGTCCGCTTGTCTCATGTGCCACGCATCCTCATTCCCACTTTGCCGCCTCATGACATCTCGACCGTCTTCACAGTTCACAGTTCACACACAGCCATAACCCAGTATCATCATCATCCACTTGCAGTGAAACTAGACTTACAATTCCCCTCGTTTACTATTATAGCAACTGACTATATACTTCGGACGTGTCACCCATCGTAAACAGTCTCCACAAACCCTATACCATACCTGATGATCCAAATGTTGTCTAAATAGTAACTATACTGGTCATTCTGCGCTCATCAAGCTCACACGGTAGTACAGTACATACAGTAAAAGCAAAGTAAAAGCCACTTTAGACTTTTCGCATCGCGTCCCGCAATGACCTGAAACTAGATATATACGAAACTCCCCGACTCGATTGCTTTATTGCTTGATTAATTGCTTGGTTGATGCCTATCTACGGTAATGGACCTCCGTTGTTCATTTACGGAGTATCTTTCACTACTACATACTACTTTCCGTCTTTGCGCGGTCCAGATTTCTAATTATATCACCGAACGAAACGAAACGAAACTATTGATTTCGTAGTCCTTCTAGAAGGAAATGAAATATTGAAGGCAACTAACTCTCCGAGATGATCGGATCGACCCTACATAGTAGCTTGCCTCACTTGGTTGGTTGGTTACGTGTGGAACAATGAATGCTGTGGTAGGAGTAGAGTAGTCATGGTTGTGTGTGTGCGTGGTGATGGATGGATGCATGCATTAGGGACGATCTGTGTAACGCGTGTTTAGTAGTTGATGGGGATCGCTTATTATCGGGGTTTGGGGTGAGGTTGAACTGCTGGGGTTGAACCTTTGTTTTGTTGTACGTAGTTGGTTGTGTGGGATGTTTGTGTCACTGTGTGGGTACTGGTTACGATGAGGGTTGGTGTTGGTTGTATAGTACTTTTTGGATTGCCAATTCGGTGTAGATTCTTCTGTAGTAACTGCCTGTGTATTGCATCATGGTCGTAGAGGAAGCAGTCAGTACTTCTAATTACTCTGATGCCATCGACAATGCCATGTAGAAAGAGGACATAATGTTGAGTGTATCCCTATCCGTCAACCACTACTAAAAATATATATCTACATCGCCGCATGATCACACCCAACAATCACAGCAAACCTACAATCGCCACCAAACCATCACAAAAACCCCTGTTGAATCCCATAATTTACGTAGATATCCTACGAACACACCCACCACCAAATTCAATACTCCCAACTTCTGCATCTACACCAGCTCCATCACATTGACACCAATTCATGCACCATGACCGCCGGACCGGCAAACGACGTCATACCCGCCGCCTTTCTTTCACCGTTTGCGGCCTCTCATCAACCCACTCCAACCTGTACAATGACGACCACGCTATAGTGTCATCACGATCAGCGTGATTCGACATATTTGAACATTCAAAATAACCAAACTCACACACCCACGCACCATGGCTGGAGAGGAGGAGCCAGCATTACACCGCGATCACGTAGGTTGTCCAGCAAATCCAGAAATCATCGCAGAATGAAGCTAACTTTTTTGGAAGAGTCGCGGCGGGACAGATGGTTATTCATCAGATACGCATAACCAGCTCGAGGTACTTATGGTCTCGATACATCGCAGTGAATGAGTGACTAACACAAGACACATCCTGCTAGGTCGTCCTCCAACCCGAATGCAGCCATCGCCGCAAATCCTCCCTTGTCATGGCGGACGATCCCATGACGAGACCTGATCTTTCGCATGCCGACCAGACGACAGCGTGCTTCGTGCACTCGTTGATAGCAGGGGAATGGGGGGATCCGACGAACAAAGTGAAGGTGCTAGAGGGGGTATTGAAGGGGACCAAGGATGAGAAAAATGAAGAAGAAGCAGCAATGGAAGAGGACGACGAAGATGAGATAGAGAAAGAAATGATGCAATCAAGACACCTGACGAAGAAACAGTTATCCGATATGGCGTGGAACGTGCGCAAGCTGTCCAAGAAGCTGGACAGTATCAAGTTGAAACTCACGGTCAAGACGGTATTCCTGGTCACCAAGGCGGGCGATCAATCGGTGATTGGATCGACGAGGGAGGTCGCCAGGTGGCTTCTGTCGAGGGATCGCGATACGCAGTATAATGTGTATGTGGAGAAACGGTTGGAGACGGATCCGGAGTTCGGTGCAACAGAGATACTGAGGGAGGAACCGTCGGCGAAGAGTCGGCTGAAGTACTGGGACCATGAACTGGCGGCGGAGAGGGCTCATTTGTTTGATTTCGTGGTCACGCTCGGAGGAGATGGTACTGTGCTGTTTACGAGTTGGCTGTTTCAGCATGTGGTGCCGCCGGTGTTGTCGTTCTCGCTTGGTTCGTTGGGCTTCTTGACCAAGTTTGACTTCAATGAGTATCAGAAGACGCTGTCGGCTGCGTTTAAGGATGGCGTGGTCGTCAATCTACGACTACGGTTTGAGTGCACGATTATGAGAAGTAATCCATTGCCCAAGGGGGAGTTGGGCCCCGGTGGGAAACGGGATTTGGTCGAGGAGTTGATTGGAGAAGAGGGTGATGATACGTTAACGCATAGACCGGACAAGGTGCTTCAGATATTGAATGATGTTGTTCTTGACAGAGGGCCGAATCCTAGTATGTCCTCTCTGTAACCTTGTCGCATGGAGTGCTTGCTAAATGTTTATATAGCTATGTCATCGATTGAGTTGTTCGGCGACGATGAACATTTTACAACGCTGCTTGCTGACGGTGTTTGCATAGCGACACCAACCGGCTCAACTGCGTATAACCTCGCAGCTGGAGGGTCATTGTCTCATCCGGACAACCCTGTTATTCTCGTCACTGCAATTTGCGCCCATACACTGTCCTTCCGGCCTATAATCCTGCCAGATACGATTGTTCTCCGAATGGGAGTACCTTATGATGCCAGGGCGAGCTCATGGGCCAGCTTTGATGGTCGGGAGAGGTGAGTTACGTCGACCAACCCATATAAAAATAGATGGCTAATCAGAACACAGAATTGAATTACACCCAGGCGATTATGTGACGGTTTCCGCATCGCGATATCCATTCGCGAATGTTCTACCCCGTGGTCGGCGGGGAGACGACTGGGTGCACACTATTTCCAAGACACTGAATTGGAACTCTAGACAGAGGCAAAAGAGCCTCGACCCGGTGGATGAAGCAAAGCGCAATAAATAGGGGCTTGCTTGCTATGCAAAGAGCATATGGACATGTTTACGATTCGATATACAATTTTACCAAATACGGAATTTTATGCATACTGCCATAAACATGAATATGAACATATGTAAGATAACATGGGAAAGGAGAACTACCTCCGAACAAAATGATGCGCGCTAAACTTGGCGAGAAACCGAACGTTCGATTTCTTTCGTAGCGGAGGCTGGTGATGAAAATTCGGCCTCTCTAGAATCTTCGTATGGGTCGGCGGGTTTCCCGGGCAGCCTGAGGCCGACTATAAAAAGGGTCTTCCCGCACCGAAATTTTTTTCTTTCTTTCTCTCGCACTTCAACTCATGCGTTGAGGAAATCTCAGACGACACAAATCTGGTCGATCGGAATTTTATGATAATTCCCATTGAGTGCTATAGCACTTACTAGCGACATTTACTTTCTCACCTACAACCATTGCGTTGTGCGACTAACTTGGTAAGTTCTACAACTCTTTTTTTTTTTCTTTTCTTCTGCTTCGCAATCTACCTGCCTCAAACGACCAGAAACCTTCGCCTCAAGGCGAAGGCTTCTTATGATGAAAACTTTTCCTACATTCGCAGTTTCCACGCTAGTCGTCGCCATGAACCCATCATAGACGGCTCTGTGCGCAATACTTCCTTGGATGTCTGACTTGGTCGTCAAATTTTTTTTTGATTTTGAATCACCATTGGTTTTGCCGCGAGCGTATGCTAATATTGCTTGCTTAGAATAGGTTTATCGGCTTTGATAGCTTTGATTTGTACCCTGACAGGGTTTGATATTGAAGGAGAGGAAGGGCAAGTTGAGACTTCGTCGATACTTGCTCAGGGATTAGTTAGATTTATTCGCAATGAATATTTGTTCGATTGAAGATTGTTCGCTCGCAGATTCTTCGTAGTAGCCTACCCGTATATACTGCAAATTGTAGTCCTTCAAATCTCTAGTAAGTAGACTTCTCTGGCGGCATGCGGCTCAATTAAGCCTAATTCCAAGCACCTGAGGCCATCACCGAAACTGCATGACTGTGCCCCTGCCTCCCCGTAGCTTCTTTCCCCCATGCCGCCTACCGGAGGGACATCTATCAACAGCTTCGCCCGCTTCTCGTCGGCCATTCGATTCCACCTTACACTCATGAACCAGCATGATCATATCGCCTAATCTTTCCTACTGAAACCCACCAGAATGACCGACTAGCCCAGCCTGAACAAATCCCCTTTGTCGTCATCCACCATAACCAACTCTGAATACCTACACATACTGTCAACATGGCGCAACCCGCCCGCCACGCCGCAATGCTATCCATTAGCAACAGCGGCCCAAACCTCCCCGTGGCAGCAGCAGCAGCAGACAGACAACAACCAGCACAACACATCCACACGCAATCCCAATCAAGCCAGGGTCTGCGCGTCCCGTCAAACCGCAAAACCATCTACGATAGACACCTGAACCGCAGCCGCAATGCGGAGCTTAGCCGGGCTAGCTTCGCCTTTCTGTTCGCCGAGATGGTGACTTATGCTCAGAGACGAGTCACAGGGATTCAGGATTTAGAACGACGGTACGTATAAGCTTTGCTTCCACAACTCCCAATCCCCCCCAAACTTCCAAACCATATACTAATGATTGATATTGTAGATTGAACGAACAAGGCTACCCCCTTGGTCTCCGACTCCTCGACCTCCTCTTCTACCGCACCATGTCCAGTTCCACATCCTCCGCTCTATCCAGCTCCTCCTCAACTTCTTCCTCCCCTCCCAATCGTCCCCTCCGCATTCTCCCCCTGCTTCATCTCATCCACGGCCCTCTCTGGCGCCTCCTGTTTAATCGGCCCGCCGATGCCCTCGAGCACTCTGTCTCTCCCGAGACGCCTAATGAATATATGATCACCGATAATGATCCCCTCGTTAATACGTATATCAGTGTGCCGAAGGAAATGAGCATGCTTAATTGCGCCGCCTTCGTGGCGGGGATTATTGAGGGCGTTTGCGATGGGTGTGGATTCGAGGCGAAGGTCACTGCTCATAATCAGCCTACCGAGATGTGGCCCGGCAGGACGATATTCTTGTTGCGCTTTGGGGAGAGTGTTATGGAGCGGGAGAAGGTTTTGGAGAGGGCCGGCGTTAAATAAATGAACGAATGAATGGGATGTGATTGATATCCATAGGCGGTTGATTTTATTTCCTACGGTGTATGATCGGCCATTGTTTACGCAGCGATTTGTTATAGAATGCGAACGGGTTCTTGTGATGTGTGGTGTTATGGGTTACGTCGGTTGGGTGTGGAAAGAGGTACGGTTTATATATGACAGTCGCAGCAGCATTCATTGTTGATGCCGGCGTGATGAGTCCGCTCGAACATATGTGTCTGGTATGTGCAACAGCAAGACGTTTATATTCACGTTGCTGTTCGTCCGCCGAACGAACACGCAGGTAGAGTCTATTCTCCTTAGGAGGCCTGCAGGAGGAAATGCATCAATCATGACCCAATCCATCCTTCATATTAAGATACCCACATAAACGCCGATTAGAAGTAGAATGTCCCTATGTCCTATTTTCATGCTTCTCTTTTACCGTTCGGGCGAAACACTCACGCGCCTCCGTTTCTCCCGATCTTCATAAGGCGACGGGCTCCGTTTCCTGCGACTGCTTGTATCGGGCCTATACCGATCTGCTGAACGATCGCGACGGTCTCGTCGCGGCGAGCGTGATCGCGATCTAGACCTCCGTCTCTCGCGCACAGCAGAGGCATTAGCCCCAGTAGGTCCCTTCGGTCTATCATCACGGTCACGGTCAGGCATGAATCGCTCGTCAGTAATGCCTATGGGAGCTCCACCATCGCGATTCCGAGACCTGTTCTGGAACCCTTCGCCAAAGCGACCTGTGTCCTCTGATTTCAGATCCCTATAGCGCGTGCGTCCCTTCTTTCCAAGCTTCGTCATATCGCGGATCTGCATGTATTGAGGTAGAGTCTCCCGCGAGACATCGTCCGCAAACTTCGCGCCCATGATATTCCTCTGAGCGAGTCCCTCGCGCTCCATGTCTTCGCTGAAAAACGCTCCCTTATGGAAGTACCGCTGCATGTATCCGGCCTGGCCTCGTGTAGCCTCCTTCTCTTCCTCCTGCTTGGCGAGGTATTCGCGATCTTCGCGATCGCGCTCCTCAGCAGTGAGATTCCTGCGCCGCTCGACCTCTTCACGCTCCTTCTCCGCAGCCTCGATCGCTTCACGCTCGCGCTTGATGCGCTTCAGTTCTCGGAGCTTCCACGCCGCGTACTCCGCCTCTGGATCCTTTCCATCCGTATCATCAATCGCTCCTTCTTCGCCCACTTCGAGCTCGTCATCATCCCACGCCCGGTTCGCCTCGCTCCGAGCAATGGCGTCTTTCTCTAGTTGTTCCCGAATCAAAGCGTCGGCTTTCTCCTGTCGCTGTTTCCGACGCGCCTCTGTCTCGGCTGAGGTATCGACCACTGTGCCCGTCGCGGCTTGGCCGTTCTGTGTTTGAGCGGGGGCATTGTTGCGCTTGTCTTTCTTGATGAACGTAGGTCGTAAAAGCACTCTGCGCGGTGCCTCGTCTTCGGAACTGCTCTCTTCTTCGGAACTCTCTTCCTCTTCATCGTCCTCCTCCTCTTCTTCCGACTCCTCCTTCACCGTAGCCGTCCGCGCCGGCGCAGCCGCAACCCTGTCGCCAGCAACAGGAGCAGCCGCCTTCGCAGGCTTGGCCTCATCCTCTTCCTCATCTTCCGTCACAAACCCCTCTTCATCCTCATCCGCTTCTTCCTCCTCAATCTTCACATCCTTAACACCCCGAGCGATCTTCGCCGCGCCCGCAGGAAACGAGCTCGCCTTGGGAGCTTGTCGTCGCTGTTGTTCGAGTCTGCGTCGCTCCTGCTGTCTCTGTCTCTCGGCTTCCTTCTTGGCTTCTGCTTCCTCTTCATCCTCTTCTTCCGATGAGGAGGGCTCCTCTGCGATGGCTTTGCCGGGTCGGTATCTGCTTGGTCGGACGGGGTTTGCGGTCATGCCGCGATGGGAGGAGGGGAGGGGAGGTGGCATGTCGATTGACGAATTGTGGGAATCAATTTAACAATAGAATAAAATTGCGCGAAGTACTATATTTCTCTCTTTGATTAGTAGTGAGATTGAAATAGAAGTGTAGCGCGTGGCGTTTTGTTCTGGATTATACTCTGTTAAAAAAAGAATTACCGGCAGTCGGAGTTCATACTTAGCTCTCTCTCTCCGCCTTCAATTCAATGGAACCTTAGGCCGAGATCCCAGACAAGCAGAAAGCTCCGGATAGTCACATGACCACGCGTCACGCGCGCCGCGCCAATCCCATTTACAAAGTAACTAAACTACTGTGATCAATATCATATCAATATCAACATCAATCCCACCATTACTTGCCCCTCTTTCCTCAGTTCTTCCCTCACTATAAACCAAACCGAGAAACCATTCAACCTACCAACCAACCATTGAACCACAGGCATCGAAGAAAGAAAGAAAGAAGGAACAAAAATGTCCCTCCAAACCCCCCGCATCCTCCCCTCCCACCTCCACGCCTTCCACCCCTCCTCCACCGGCCCACGCACCTCGCATACCGTCCGCATCCTAGGAACAGTGACTGCTCTGCGCGGCGACACGGCCACCATGACGTGCGGAAACCACGGCGATGTGACGCTCATCTTGAAGCCCGATTCGCATTTGCAGATGGGAAAGTTGGTCGAGATTATTGGCAAGGTTGCTGATCTGGATAATGGGAGTGTATGCTCTATACCCTTTTTCCTTTCCCTTTTATTGGTGTCTTTGGGGTTACTTTCTTTAGGATGGATGATGGATAATGGCTGATGTTGTGGTGTGTAGGGTGTCGGTATTAGAGTCCTAGGCAGTACGGATTGGGGGAGTCCGGCGGATTGTGGTAGGTTTTTTTTCCCTCTTTTCTTTTGCTTTTGCTGGGGGGGTTTTGGGGAAGAGGAAAGGATAGGTGCTAATTGTGATTGATTGTAGATTACAAGATCTATGAGCATGTTGTCAATGCTACGCATAAGCTCAAGCCTATCTTCTATGATGAGTAGGTGGGCTGTTAGGGAGGATATGTATAGATGATTGGGTTAGTGAATGGGCAAAGAGCATTTTGAACTACGTGAAATATCTTGCTGTGCTGGGTGGTTACTAGTATCTTTATGGGTCCTGCAGCTGAGGTGTCATTTGCATCGTGTTCGGGTTATTCTTCGGCGTTGGGTTAATTTACAATATCTGTCTAGCAAAATATTATACGGTCGATTACGATCTACTACAAAACAGCTTGTCAATTATTATTCATTTATTGTATGTTAAGCATCGAGTGCTGGTATCTTGTTCTAATCCTTCAATCCTCCCAAGGTTCCTTCCGTAATATCCATCCCATTCAAACCACTTCCAACAAAAGCATACCATAGCCTTAGGTTATCCCCAAAGAAAGACAGTAGCGGCAGATGGCACATCACCATTGCCTATCCATCCAACGCCATCGCTAGAATAAAAACACAGGTAAAGAAATATCAAGTGAAAGTCGGCATCGTCATAACACAAAAAGGAGACTCATTAAGCATCATTGGTAGTCTGGGGTTCCTTGTCCTTGGCTGCTTCTTCAGACGCCTTCTCTTTCACGCCCAGGTCCAAGCTGTCGGCGTTGAGTGCGTCGGAACTGAAGAAGCCAGAGTCCAGGACGTTGTTGTCAACGTAGTTGAAAATATCGAATTGGGGGTTCTTTTGGAGGTCCGGATCAGACAGCAGCGCATTGATGAGATCCTGAGAGTCTTCACCAGCTGGCTCGCCGTCAGTTCCCGTGGGAGACACATAGTCCGAAGGGATCCAGTCAGGCCAATTGCCCTTGTTCGCATCGAGTGCGAAAAGCGCGTCAGCATTGGCAGAAGGTGCGTCCGAGAAGATATCCACAATCATATTGTCTATCCCGCTAAACGCGTCCGTGCTGAAGGCATCATCTGCCAAAGCGGGAAGCCCAAGGCCCTGCGTGCGTGACTGCTTGGGCGTTTTGCTGTGGCGCGATGCCGGCCCCGGGCTGCTCTGGATCCGCTGAAGTCTTTGCGCGGTGACCCTGGTGGGCGTCGCATCGCTGCCGAGTCCCTTCCGGGTCCGCGAAGGCGAATCGCCGGGAAGGGAGTGCCGCTTCTCGCCCAGAACGCTGGCGCGGGGGTTGCGACGCCGAGGAGTGGGGCTGGTGGGCAGGTCAAAGTCAAACTCGGGACTCTCGAAGAGGTCGTTCAGGTCAGTAGAAGTCTGATTTTCCTTGTCGTCAGATCGCTTGTCCGATCCGCTATTGACACGAGGGCTCCGCCGGGGGCTGTTCAAGGTGGAGTCACCTAAAGCTCGCAAAGGCCCGCCCTCATTGTGCGAATTAGGAAAAAGCACTCTTCTCACAGACTTAGGAGTAAGAGCATTCTCACCCGCAGCAGAAGCATTGCGGTGCTCAAGATTTCTAGCTGGACTGGACTGGATCGCTGCTCGGAGGGCTTCCACCGGATCATTCTCGTGCCAACGGCTTCCCGCAGTATCGGTCGATTTGCGCGGTTCCAGGCTGTTTGCGCGGCGTCGCTTGGCTGGGAGCTCCTGGACATCATCATTGTCCTGCACACTGCTCGGCTCGTTCTCGTTGTTTTCATTGTTCTCGTTATCACCGCGGGGAGTAGTGCCATCGTCCACTGGAGGTGAGGATGCATCAGATACGCCGGGCGAAGAGGCATCGGGTTTTCCGGCTTCAGCTCTGACGCGGTTCCTCGCCGATGGAGGGTTACCAGACAGCGGACCGCCGCCCTTGCGGTTCCTGGGAGGGCGCTTCCTCTTGTTGTTGCCGGACTTGTTGTTCCACTTGTTTTCTGGACGCATGCACTTGAACTTATGAAGCCAAAGACCACAGGCTGGAATATCATTAGTGACTGAAAGAATGAATTGACTGGAGGGTTACTTACGATTGCAGAGTAGGACTTGAACAAAGTCCTTATCAGTATCCACTAGGCTCTTCTTGTAGATCTTGAATTTGGTGACCTTTTCTTGATCATCGCGATCCACGGCTTGCCAGAACAACATAGCAGAATCTTTGACGAGATCAATGGCCTCTTCTTCGGTACCATCGATCTCCTTGGACCATGCCCTACGCCAGGTAGGGGTTTCAATCGAGCCGCAGTTCTCACAATAAGGAGGAGCCTGTCCGTCCCGAATGCACTGGGCAAGACGTGCTTGAACCTGCCGCACTCGTCTCGCACCAGCGCCACTGCGAACCTTGCCGTCCTCAGTAGGGGGTGGAGGTGCGGGTGTTTCCGCGACTGAAAAGTCACTCATCGGTCCATTCCAGGATTGTGTGTTGGGCACATGCACATGGGTAGGCATTACCGGATCACTCGCCGGGATAGCACTCATCAGCTGTTCCAATTCGCTTTGCGAGATGGGAGCGGGCGCGAGAGGCTTGGGAGTTTGTCTGATACCGGCACGAGACGATGGCCGCGACCCCGCAGCACTAGCTGGGGCACGAGGAACCGCAGGTACCTTGTCCTTAGCGGTTTGATCCGGTAGGGCATCGCTGGCGGGATAAGTATCATGGTTCATGGGCCCAACAGGTGAGCTTGCTGGCACAGCAGGACGCACACTTCGTTTGCCTCGAGTTGCATCATTGGATCTCGTGCAGTCCTCCAGCGGCGTACCAATATCCTCATCCAGGAGATCGTCCATGCCCCCGCTCATGAAGCCTGAATCCGGGTCAGTGGCCATAGGCGGGAGAACTGGGCTGGAGCGGTTCGGAAAGCCGCAGTCGAGAACGGGAGGCGAAGACGGCATATTGAATGAAGGTTCGAAGATGCCTTGGTAGCGAGACTCCTCCGGCGACTGGGTGTTGTGGTAACCTGGATGATCATCGGCCGCAGTGTATGGTGATGTGTACTGAGGAGTGCTCTGCATTGACGACTCACGCAAGAGGCTGGGCCGGGGGCGTGCTCGGCGAGGCAGTTCATTCGCATGAGAAATCGGAGTTGGCGGGCGAACAGGCTCCTCATTTGAGCTCTGAGCAGCAGCGATTGAAGGATTGACGGGGGTAGGGCGATGGATACGCACGGACGCCGCAGTGCTTGCGGCCACACGAAGGGAGCTGGGTTGCCTCTCAATGTTCAAGTCTGACTTGCCGGGCCAATCCGCACGATACAATTTGGCTCTTTTCCGAGGTTGCTGTTCCGATGATTCATCACCACTACCGTAGCCGGACTGCATGGATCCTCTGCGGCTGGCATATCTCGCATGCATCGGGAGATCAGACTCGCGCATAGAAGCACTCGATGTCGGTCGAATAAGTTCGCTGTGAGATCTTTCCTGAATTTGGTCTTGCTGCTGCGCGGATGGCTGGAAGCCAGGGGTGGACATCCGGCTTCCATGACCAAGCACAGACTGTGAGGGCGACACCGAGCGGACAGACCCATTGGCGGCAATCGAGGGAAGCTCCCTTGGCGTTGAGCCTTCACTCAATAGGCGATGGAACCGCTCAATTCCGGCATGGTCCACAGGCGATGCTGTCCGGTCGGGCAGTTGAGGACGATGGCCCAGCAGACCGGGGTTTTGGCGAAGAAAATTCGTCCAGGCCTGTGCGTCAAAGTCGTGGGGAATGACATTGCTCAGTTCGCGATATCTCTGCATGCTGTCCAGGTACTCGCTCTGCATGACTGTGGGAACAGGAACTAATCGCAATTTGACCTCCAGTGTTTCCTGTGCACCTTTCGAAAATAACCCTAGAACATTCTTGCAGACACGACCGGTGACCATAGTTTCCGACTGATGTGCTGGTGCATCGGGAGTCGGGGAAGACGAAGCCAACACCCATGATAGCATCCCTTGTCCGACGAGGGGCGTCTCATACTCGGAGTAGTCGTAGGCGTACACCGTGTAATCCTGTCCAAGTTTGGCAACTAGTTCCGGACTGTCACATGAAACCATTGCAATAAGTATCCACGTAGTGTCGGTTGACCCTATGGCGAAAGCACTCACCTTGCCGAAACAATGGCTTGAATGCAGGTCTTCAATTCGATGACCCCAATTTGGGTCTTCTCATCGAGGGCAGCAGTCTGAATGTCGAGAAGATGGGGCCATCGGGCCAGACAATTTGTCTTGTTGGCATCGTCGAATGTGTAGAGCACCTTCACTGCAAGTTTCGGAGCCACACAATTAGTATCGAACAAACTTAACACCCCGAAAAGAAAAAAAAAAAAAATTACTCACGCCTCATAGGCCGGACGGAAATCCCGTCCTGAGAGTCCATGCCACCAGATGGAGGAAATCAACCATATGCTGGACCACAAAATCAGAGTGTAGAGTGAGAGGGCTGTAAGGTTCCGGAGAGAGAGAAGAGGTTTGCACCCGGGTTGCTCGGAAGGTATATTTCGAAAAGGGAGTGTCGAAGGTGTAACCCAAACAACAGGGTTCAAGAGATCGACCGTTGAAAACGAAGCAAGGTAGGATTGTAATAATATCGTTGGATATGCGTCTAGCGTTATCGACCACTCAGAAAGGCCCAATTGGCGGGAGTGTCAGCCAGGGGAATGCCGAGGCGTGGATGTACTATGCAACGGAGGTCGCGGGGAAAGAGCCTGTGGAATGCCAACGCGGGACACGGAGCAACGAAAGGAGGAGAGGGTGCGGTGAGGAACCTGAGGCATGGGAGAGAGGAGGAGGTTTAGAAGAGAGAAAAAGGAAGAGAGAGAGAGAGAGATTAAACCAATGTGAGGCACTGGAGGTTGCTCCCATTAACCGCAGGCCGAGGAGTTGGGGGGAAGAAGGGAAAAGGAGGAGGGACAGGTGAGGGTGGAAGGAGAGAAAAAGCGCAGACGCCTTGCATTTGAAGAAGTGATGAAGCTTGGACGAGAGCGCATCCGAGCGTGTCGGACGCGACGTGACGCTCAGCCAATCGCGCGCTCGGCTATTTCCGCTGCTCAAACACGGCAAACACGCGTGGCACGTGACAGCACCCGCGCCAAGCCAGGCTTCCAGAACAGAAGCTGCGGATTGAGATGCTCTCAAGTCGTCCCCGATCAAGTTCAAGCCTGTCCTTGCTGTCCTCCTCTGCACCGGCACCTCCCACCTCATATTTATACTCGCGCCCACCATGTCGACCGATCCCAAGATCCAGTAATTAACCCTCTTTTCCTACCCTCCTTTACATCCCGATGAGTCATTAGCTCTTGTCATGGTGTTATCCGCTTCTCAACCTGCCGGACCTCATTGCTAACCTTGTCTTGCAATTCCATAGGGACCTGCTCAACAAGCCTAAGAGCGAGCTCACGTACGTTATCGAACCCCTCCTCTTCTTCCCGGCTTTTATCAAAGCTTCCTATTCCCGTGTTCCTATCACATGATGCCGGATCCTTTGCACACCCATCATTCCAACTACCCATGCCCATCACACCCACGATATCCGGATAGTGTCCCGCGCGCCTAATTCTCATCGCGCCACACCATATCTATCTATTTATCTACCCACCCATCATCGCCATCTATGCGCTAACCTATTCCCTCATCCAGTGAATACGAGGTTTCCCTCGTTGAGGAACATGAGCTCACTGCCGGTCCTTTGTCTCTTCTCCAAACCGCTACGCGCACACACACCCAGGTCCTGATCTCCTGCCGGAACAACCGCAAGCTCCTCGCCCGTGTCAAGGCCTTTGACCGCCACTGCAACATGGTCCTGGAGAACGTCAAGGAGATGTGGACCGAGAAGCCCAAGGGTGGTAACGGCAAGGGTGTCAACAAGGACCGCTTCATCAGCAAGATGTAAGCAACCACCATTGCTCCCCACCAGAAACCATCCTAACCCAACCTCTTATCACAGGTTCCTCCGTGGTGACTCCGTCATCCTCGTCCTGCTCAGCTGAACACTGTTCACGTGACGCGCTCAATTCCCTTCTCGAACGGTCCTGGGCCGGTCCGGGCTTGGCTTCTCTCTCTGATCGAGCTGAAATCCGACGGAGATGAATTCTAGTTGACACAGACGAATGAACGATACCCTTTTAGTCGTGCGATGCTTACGGAATTGGATGGGATGTTAGATTACATCATCACGTACGATCTGCCTCCCCGCCCATTTAATCCAGCCCTCTCCGGACCTTGGCTCTCATATTCTCCTTCTCGTTTCATATATTGCTATTTTCCGATCTCAAATTTCACCGTTTTTTCACTCTGATTTACGGCGGGGGCAGACTTGGCGTTCTCCGGACTCTTTTGTGTTTTTTTAAAGCTAGAAAAAGGAATCTGAAGTGGAGTATCTCGGCTTGATAAAAGTAGGAGGAGCATTGATGAATCGGGTCTTACTCGAGAGAGAGAGCTAGATAGTCCTAGCCAGGGTTATGAAGTGTATCTGACTTGGTTGGGTATAGTCTGACTGTTAATACTCAGATAAACGATAAAACAATGTACGAGTACACCATTATCGCATTCAGGTAATCGATTATCAATTTGAGTATCAGGCAGACCATTGCATGATACCACTACCTTCTTACTTGATCTGATATTGCCATATTCATATGATAGGACTCCGTACGAAATAAGTGAATCCAACCATGATCTTGTCCATTCAACACTGAAAACTAAACAGTAAATACAAAGAAGTAGACATGCAAAAAACCGCGCCCAATTTATCATCATATTCATCATCATGAAATTATATTAAGATAAGGAAAAGTCCAAGAAATATCCCATAATATCCTCATCAACGGATGCAAATTATATATTTACCATGGTCCCGAAGAAAAGGAAAGAATGCAAGTGACACTTTTCTCTCTCTCTCTCTCTCTCTCCCCCCGGCTCCCTTACAACGCCTCGGATAGACCGTTGAGGAACACGCTGAGTCCGTAAGCACCGGGGTCGGGGATCTTGCCCACCCATTCCTCTTCGCCGCCGACGTAGACGGATCGTCCTAGACTGGCCTTCATGTTCTTGGTGGAGTCGGTGCCTTCCTGTGCTGCTTTGGCGGCAACGTGCACGTCCTTGGCCTTTTGGAGCTGCGTGCAGAAGGGAACAAGGGCGTCCAGGAGGGTACGGTCACCGGGCTGGGCGGGGGTGTAACGGGAGAGTGCGGTGAGGGAGTAGGAGAGTGCAGCAGCCCAGACATCCACCGTGGCGGGGGTGGTGGTGCCTCGGTCTTGCTCGCGGAGACCGTGAGCCAGGGCGTTCAGGAAGATGGCGTAGATGGCTCCGGAGGTTCCGTCCATGACGTTCTCGACGATGCTGACGATGCGGTTCACCGCGTTCACGACGTCGTCGGTGAGCGGGGACGAGGGGTCCTCGATGAGCTTAAGGACAGCCTCGGCACCACGCTTCAAGCCCACGCCGCAGTCTCCGTCTCCGACGATGGTGTCGAAGCGGGTGACTTCGGGCTCAGCAGCAATGACACGCTTGAGTGCACTACCCAGAACCTTCTTGAGGGAATCAACATCCACTATGATTTATGTTAGCTAAATCCAGAGAGGACAGGCCGCGATAATCGACCGGATAGGGGTACTGACGCTTGACGTTGCTGGGCTGATCCTCGGGCAACTGGGTCCTTTTCAGCTCCACAGGAGCATCAGAGCGGTGCTCCCAGGTCTCAGGACGGATGGGAGCAGACCAGCCAACCGCCTCAGCGGGGGCATCAAGGAGTTCAAGGAAGGACTTGCCCTCGCCCAGCCCAGTGTCCACGAGCTTCATCAGGGAGATGCTGAAGCCCAGGCCGTTCAGACTGGTGAGGAAGGTTCCCTGGATCACCCGAATGGGCCGGACGTTGTAGTCTCTGTTCAGCTGGCGGTACACCTCATCGGTGATGCCCGAAAGTTCGAGAGCGCTCACACCACCCAAGTTGTTGATCAGCAGCACAAACTCATCATCGGGCTTGCGAGTGATCCAGGCGCGGTCAGGATCGTTGTGGTCCAAGAGCTGAAGGAGCATGGTAGCGACCAGTTCGGTCAGCTCGAACTTCTCCCGGTGAGATCCCGGCTCATTGTGGATGCCCATTCCGACCTCGACCTCACCATCGGGAATGGTATCCGTTGGCGGGGCTCTGCCAGGGACGTGGACGTGCTCCAGGGAAGAGCCAACTGAGACGAGGTTCTTGTTTGCCAACTGAGCGGTGCGGTAAACATCCTCAAGAGATCCACTAATGCAGTCGGTCGTCTTAGTTTACGCTTCTCACACTTTGAAAGAATCCAACTTACCCAGCTTCGGCCAGCGCGCTGACGATCTTCAAGACGAGGATACCACCACTAATACCGCGACGGCCGACCTTGCCGCCCTTCTTCTTGCCGACACCAACATCGTCGTTGATGGCGAAGAATTCGGTCTTGATACCGGCGGCGCGGGCCTTCTCCGTAGCCATACCGAAGTTGAGGACATCACCGGTGTAGTTCATGGGGATGATGAGGACACCCTTCTCGTTGTCGACGCAGTCCATGACAGCCTTGCGAATTTGCTCTGCGGAGGGAGATGCGAAAATGGTACCGGCGGCCGAGGCATCTAGGAAGCCCTTGCCAACATAGCCGGCAAAGGCGGGCTCATGGCCGGAGCCTCCGCCAGAGACAATCGCGACCTTGGACTTCGTCGTATCCGGACGACGGAAAATGATTTTGTTTTCAGCGTCATAGGCAAGAGAAGGGTTTGTGAGAGTCAGGGAGTTCAGGGCGGTCTGGACCAGATGGGTAGGGTCCGAGAAGAAGTGCTTGGCTGATGGCCGCGTTAGCGTATGTATCGGACAGTGTCTGATCCAGTGAAATTTGTGGAGAAGATCTGACTTCATGCCGGCTGTGGAAACCGGATCTGGGATTGCATGGTCTGACGCAGAGGGGCATAAATTCTGGGGCAAAGGAATAATAGGAAAAACAGGTAAAAGAGAGGCTCTTTGGAAAAGAGGTGTGTGTGTGGAACATACTTTGCATGATGGAGGGAGATCTAAAGGGTTGATCGCAACAAAAAACTGGGGAATTGGTGGTGTATGACGTTTGGCGGGCGCGTAGGAACACGATCCGGCTCAAAAGTGGGGTTCAAGGAAGTACGGGTACAAGCGCAATAAATTCAACCCTTGAAATCGTGGCTCGTCGACTTTCCAGAAAGGCGACTGCTTTGACTCTTTATATACGCTTTCTCGCTAGAGCTTCGGTTTTTTTTTTGGATGACCTTGGCTTGTCAGTTTCCCTTCTCACACGCTTCGGGAACATTCGCAGCAAGCGTACCAAAGCAGATAATGGCAATTTCTGGGGATGGCGCGTTGGCTCGGGATAGAGTCCGGATAAGGCGGGGAAAAAGTGGAGAAATCGGATTCGCCTGTTTGAGCGGCAGCTGTCAGTCCACTGATTTTCGTGCATCGAGAAAACTGGAGAATGGCATGGAAGAAGGGATTATCATTTGCCAGTCGCACTCACGGTCACTTGTCAGGTGGGGGATCAGTCGATTGGCGGATATCCTCAAGTGTTTGGGGATGACCTTGTAGATCTCGGATAAAGGGTTGGTAAGCGGATTGAAGAGGATAGAAGAGGAAAGTCTGATTGGAATGGAGGATGGAGAGCAAGCCGGGAAGGGTCAATTGCTTGAGGGAGAAGAAGAAGGTTCTATGAGGAGAATAGAGAAAGCGATGAAGAGAGCCCAGAATCCGAGTGCGAGAGCTGGAGATAAATAGGACGAAGGACCGGACACGGAGTATCGTGGACGTGTTGGGGGAAGTAGTACTTCAGGATGTCGTAAGTCGAGTCGGTGACTAGTAGAGCAACTTGATTGATCCATTTTCCAACCGATTCTCCAAAATTAAAAAAAAAGAACCAATATTATTATTATTATTATTTTTTTTTTTTTTGCTGCTCACATGAACAATCTCTGATTTTCGCATGACCGACCCATCGACCATGCGGTTCTGGATAAGGGGATCCAGAGTCGTTAGTTTCCAAGCTCGAGCTTGTAATCGACTCCACGCTCCCAGCCAGTTACGGCCTAGCGCTGTACCCCATGGGTCTGGAACCCGCCAAAATTACCCGCCGTGACTGGTGTCACTTTCCGGATGCTTCGGCTTACTATCTGTGGGAATTCCGCTTCGCCTGCCTATTCTCGTGGATAATTATCCCTTGACGGCCTGAATCTTTATCGGTACGGCTTCGGCCTGCTAAACCACTATCTACCTGACCAGGGTTGAGTTGGCTGCCTCTTCGTTCCAATGGTTCTGAGATGACTGAGCCCGTGGGATGAACAGCGCTGTTCGCGGATGAGAATACGATAATCTAATTGTCCTGTATCAATTTGCAGAAAATTTGCCAACAGAAACCTACATACATACGTTACTACATACATACATACATAGGTACATACAGTAGGTACTAGTACCAGATGCATTGAGTCGAGAATGAGATCGTCAAATCTACTACTTAGTCATACTAACAGATAGAGTCGACTCCGTGCGCACGCAGGGCAGTAGTATTGGGGGAAGGGGGCGCAATGAAGGCGATGTCACGGGTGCGTAACCCTTCCTTTTCCGGATACATTGATTGCCGCTGAGACGCGCAAGGATGTTCGAGAACCTGCAGCTTACTGGAGACACAACAATATTCTACACAAGCAACCCCACTAATACAAAGTACCGTGTGCACAATAGACTGATTATTCTAAAACTGGCGCTACTGAGTGGCGGAGGAATACTAATAATGGCAATTCTTGATTTGTAGGCATTGACTACCTGGTATGCTTAAGTACGCCACAAACATGGCAACAAAAGCATGCCTTGCTTGACGGCGAAGGGGGGGTATGGGTATGCTTGTTTCCGAGAAGATAAGTGATATCGGATTGGATGACTGGTAGACTCTAGTGGTACCACTTGCTGTAGACATCAGGTAGATAGTATTGACCTTGACCCCACTCAACTCAACCAGGTACCCTGGGCATGAATATTATCCGCCTGTAAAGTTTGAGAGTTATTACATGAGTCCAGCCCCATCTCATTCATAAGCTTGATAAGACTGTTGTTGCATATCAAAGCCCATGGGAATATAATTCCTGACCACCGCATACATGCATACATATGATCTATACTTGCTTTCTGCTGCCGTGCCCGCAGCTTAGGCATCCGTCGCGGCATGTTTTGTTGCTGGCAACCGCTGCAGAAAGTCAGGCATCCACAATGTAGTTGTCGTCGTCGTAGTAGTAGTAGTACATTACGTGCTTTGTAGTACGTAGTCACTTTCAATTTTCGGGCAAAAGATAAACCAAGTGGTCAGGTATGTATGGAGTACGAGCGACATTTCTCAACAAATGATGTGCAAGGCAAATAATATTGGAAAGTTGACCATCCTCACCCGAGCCGCATGAGGGTTGCGCAACGGGATCGTCAGAGAACCAAATCCCAACAGATGAGTAAGTGGAAAAAAACGATCATGGGACCTTCAGAAAATGAACACAAAAAAAGAAACATGAAGGAAGGGGTTGGAGATTGTGCAAGCCACCACTTCTCCGCTGTCAGATCTTTAGTATGAAACAGCAATCCTTACTCCATCGGAAGGAAACCGGGATGTTGATACGTGGAAGAAATAGAAAAAGAAAAAAAAAAAACAAAGGGAAGGGTTTCTCCGATTATCTACGGGAAAGACTAAGGATGACTATAGTTCATTTTGCAAAGTCGCCGGGTAATGGATGGGGCGATGATGGATCGGCCGCGTCCCTGAAGGAGAGGAAAAGCTCAGACATCCACGTGAGCGGATGGAAAGTTCCCAGGATCTTCCCCCCTAACTTTACTATGGGGGGAGTTGCTATGGAGTACTCCATAGATAGTAAGCCGGATGGATCCCCCCGAAAGCTCTAGACCGTTTCGTCCCCTTCCCGATTCGGTTCGAGCAGTCATCGATGGGCTGCACCTTCCACGGGCTGACACTTCCATTCCATTGCCTTTTTCGGCCTTTCCTCACATTGCTGGCGCTGCTTTTCTCTGCCGAGAGCCCGACTGCCTGGCTCTCGGGCGAGAGAACGACCGAGCAAGCTCATCCATGCACTCATGACTGACTGACTGACGGATTGACTCTTGAGCTCAAGCTGTAATGAGCATTTAGTCTGAATGAACGCAGCAATTCCGATTCATACCACATACTCACCCCTACGTGGGGTGAAGCTCCAAATGTACCTTGCTGTATCAATTATCCACTACACATTCTAGTCGTTCTAATCCTGCAGCGGGTTAACTAGTAGTCTAGTTTGCTGTTAGTTGCTATCTAGCTACGAATTAGGTAGGGACAAGGAAGGTACACGTGAGGCACGTTAGATCCGTCCGCTTCTCAACAGTTCCCCCCCCCCAAATTCGGTCAGGAGGAATGGGGGTCAATCGTAAAAGGCAACTATACCGAGGGTTCCTATACAAGGCACGCAAGTAGAGTTGCAGATTCGCGACACACGACTTCACTATGTGCTACTTGACTCTTTCTTCCCGACGGATCCCCATGGAAGCTCTCTCCTTGGGTCCCCAACTAGGCTTGTGGGACCGGCGATGCTCCGCAACCATGCCAGGGATCAATCTGCTGCTAGTCTAGTCTAGTCTACTTCGTACTAGATTCTACTTGGTAGAGGTGATACCCCATTCTCTTCTCTCCCGACATTCCGGTCACCCCACCTACTACTACTGCTGTGTCGACCGTCGCTGCTAGCAGAAAGCGCCCGAAAAGGCCACGACTACTCCCTGTATCTACACGGCTAGCTAGCTGCGACTGTGCCTAGGAGGGAAGGTCTTTAAGCAGAATGGACACATGACTTTATTAGTGCATTCTTTATTTCGTTCTGACGGTCTCTGAGCTGTCAATCAACACTGTACGATGTACCACATCGTCGAACCCCAATGCTTTGCACCCGACATAGCACCACTGCAAACTTCTAGGCCACATATTGGTACCGGTTTCCTTCCTCGCGCTCCATGTAGTCTTTCTCAATCAATCTGCACATGATTGCGTCAGCTATGATATACCTTATGCTGGTGTTAGGATCGGAAGAACTCACTTCTCAATATTCTTCTTGATATCCGCTGGCTCTAACACTCCGCGACTTCGGGTTGCCTTGATAACCTCAGCCACGAGTTCTGCGTGCGTGATCGTCTTGCGACTCTTCATGATTCGCACAATCGCCGCTTGTGTCTCATAATGACGATCGGCAGCCACTCGCTCGTGCGTGGTCTTGTTCTCTTCCTTCGTCTCTTTCAGCTGAATTTGGTTGATCTTAATCCGCATCTTCGGGTCGGTGAATGCCGCGTTGTACGAAAACTCGTCTGTTGTATTCACATCCCGGCCCTTCGGCTTCTTGCTTAGAACACGGTATTTCGCACATGCGAGCGATTGCAGCGTTCGTTTCAATTCTTGATCAGCTATGCATCGATAGATGTCAGTAGAGGCCCAACTTGCGTAGGTTTGGGGGTAGAGAGGCAGTGCAACTTACATAACATGGTCGCCTCCTGTATCTGTGAATACCCGAGACTTCCACCCTCCGGAATATCGTTGAAGAGCAACAGAACGATCGCCTGGAAGGAGCTGACCACCAGTTCTTTGTCTCCCTTGGGAAATTTTGCGCGTAGCTGACAATGTGCCAATTGGTGCTTCCAGTTGAGCTTGCGCCCGTTGTATTTGGTATTGTAGAACTTCTCGAAATCATCGACAGCAGTCGCAATTTCTGGCGGTATCCGCACCTGAACATCGGGATATGTTGGCCATGCTGATGCAGAAAGCACGCTGACGTTCAAATCCACCGGTAGACGGTCCCGTCGTTCGCGCTGTATTGAGCTGTATGCTGACATTTCATCGCGTGCAACATCCATATCTTTGAACATCGACTCCAGATTATGCGTGAAGCTTGATCCACATTCTAAAATTCCAATATCAGTAACAAGTTGAGGATGATAGTGGACAAGAACTGTACAAACCTGTCTTGAGTCTTGCCAGCATACTCTTTTCCGCATCGTCGCTGGCGCTCCTGCCCATCAGCAACCGACGAGCGAGATCATTCTTGTAGAAGGCCTCGAAAACTGCTTTGCCATGGACAAAACGGAACAGGTCCAAGACCTGATCCAGTTGCCTGTCGATTTCGGCATCTTCATCGGCAAGTGGCATGTCCTCTGCCTTGCGTGCAGGTGCGAGCTTCCATCCGCCCTTGAGGAGCCGGTCCACGTACTTGGCAATCATCTCTCCAGTCTTGGGGTTGTCAGTACCTCCAGTAGCTTCCGACTTTCTTCCTTTGTTGATGAACGTCTCAAAGGCTTCACGGAGTGTATGGCCCAACTCCTCATTCCGGTGGAAAGAATGAACCCAGATATCGTCAAGTTGCTGCTTGAACTCTAATAGATGAGCCACCATGTCTGCTTCTTTATCCTCGTCGAAGACGATCCCAGAGCCCTCCTCAATGATATAACCACTGAAAGCGGTCTTCAACTTCGCACCGAGATCCTTCCGTTGCAGGAGTGAGTAAAGCCTTTCTAAGGCAACCTTGTTCCCTGCACGCAGTAGGCCTAGTATATCAGGCTGGTTGAGC